GGTCGGCCTCTTGTGAGCAGAGAGTAGTCTTTGATGTGAGCCTTGCATAGTATTTGGTGTCCTTTGGAGGATAACCTCTAAACAGGAAGTTGTCTGTCAGAAATGTTATTTGAAGCTCATGAAAACAGACATTTCTGTTGAACAAGGAAAAAAGACTTCTTATAGAACCTGCCAGTGGCAGTTGCTCGATGAGGCTCTGAATTTATGTATGGAAAAGCATCACCAGCGGTGCTCATTCCATATTGCAGGGCTCCATTGGAAAAGGCTGTTGTCTACTTGCTTTTTAATTGAATGCAATTGCTGCTTTCTTTATATGAAGTGTTCTTCATTGTTGCTTCTGTTTGCCCGTAGCACTGTCAGTCTCTTCCTTTGTGCACAGCTGACAGTGTCCCTTTATGCTGAGGAACACGTCCCTGTTGTTATCTGTGCAGGTGGGGCTGAGAGTACAACGTAAGCTTGTGGTGTCCATAGAGCCGAATCTGCATCCCGAGATGCTTAGCCTTGCTTTGATTGGCCCGTTGGTCTCCTGTGTCATGTCTACGAAGGCTGATATTGAATTTCTGTGAAGAACATTGTCTGTTTTCTTGTCCTGTTAAACCCATGTTGCCTCGTTCCATTGCCGATACATAGCCGATATGTTTGGAGGCTTTATTCATGAGCTTGTATGGGATAAAGCAAAGTTACCCTAGTTACATTCCCTTTGTAAACAAGGAGGTTGTGTGTAATATCTCTTTGTTTGTTAAAATCCAGGTTGTGCCGTTTTTCTTTGAAATTGGGCTGCAGACCTTTATGCTGTGTGGTTACAGCCTAAAGAAGAATTTCAGCCAATATAAAACCAACAATAAACATAGGTAACATGAATATGCATGCTGGGGAATTGAATAACAAGTTTGTTGGGCTACATTCACACAGCAATCACAGTTGCCTGATGGCTAAGTCCCATCAAGCTGCTGTGAATTTATAGCTTAGTAAAGCGAAGTGCAGCAGTAGTTATCCTTTTTTTCAATGTAAAGGCAGATCAAAACCAGGGTGGATTTGATTTAAATCACGATTTTAAATCACTAGTCAGTAAGGCTGGATTTAAATCCTCGTTTTCTACATAAAGACTAATTCTTGCTGGTATAACTTTAATATACAAGTAGATGAAGATTTTTAGAATAATAACTTTTCATATTAGTTTTTTTATCCCCAGTTTAATAGGTTAATCATTCATATTTGGACAACTTTTCTGTTGTACTTAGGAAGGAGAAAAATAATCATTACCTTAATAATAACAATTTAAATAGATTTATTCAACTGAAACAATAACATTCCAGCATCTGTTATTCGCTTAACCTACTTAGTGGTTTTCCCGAGTGTAGCTCGGGGTAGAATTTCTATACCACAAGCGGTAACCCCGAGCTACACTCGGGCTTACCATGCGGCGCTGCTCTGGGGGTCCCTGCAGCACTTACCTTGTCCTTCATTCCCACGATGTGTCCCCTGCAGCGTCCCCGGCCGATCTCCTCCGGCGATGCCGGCATCCGGCTTCTGTGTTCCGGTCCCCGTGACGACGGGACGTACGGGCGCCGGCGGCGGCGGGAAATTTAAAAAATAAAAACATTTTTTTTTTTTTTTTTCATTTTTAAATAGTAAAACATTGCTGTTTCATCCCATTTCACATACATATTGTCCCTAGTGCTTTGTCCTGTGCCCTGCCTGCATTTTGTCTGTTCTTTCTGCCTGGAAACTTAGAAAAGTCCATGGCGTCCAAAAAGCGTCCCTTTACGTCAAAAGCGGTTTTAGACCGGCTAGAGAACAGCGATAGTAAATCAGAACCACTTACAGAATTGAGTGATAATGATTTGTGGGGAAATTTTCCTAAAAATTACAGCCTACAATAAAAAACTATTTCCATGCAAAAAAATGGTACCGCTTTCAGCACAAAAAATCGGAAGGAATCATACCGCCAAGGAGGTTAAACAAACATCCATGTTTGGTAACTAATTTGGCTAAACAAAATATATATATTTTCAGAAACTTAGACTATCAGCCCCTTCCTCCTCACACTTAGTTTCACTTTCTTCTTGTGCAGATCTATTCCACTCCAAACAACCAGAAAAAATATTGTTTCTATTCTATTCACTGAACTTCTTGAAACTTAGCAGTGAAGGGGTTGATTCTGTATTCATAGGTTTGTAGAAGTTAGGATGAAGATCTTTTTCTTAACTCTGTTCATGTTATAACATTTTTGCTGTGAAGAAGAGGCATGTGATCTCCGCTGAGTCAAATTCAGTTTTGAAAACTGCAAAAGTAAACCAATCATCTGTGATAATATCTTGTAGGCAGAGAGAAAAACGCCCAATAATCTTACAAAAACCTCTGGAAGAGCATGACATTGTGAATGGATTCATGGAATTTATTTACAAAAAACATTAAACATATACAGCCTTATTCTACATAATTAAAAAACGAATCTTTATTTCATGATGGAATAACCTTTGGATGGTAATATATTTTCCTCAAAAAGCATTTTATTTAAAAAAATCCGATTTAAATAAAAAAAAATCAGATTTTTTTTTTTTATTTTGTTTTAAAAATCATTGATTTGTATCCACCCTGATCAAAAGCAAGTATGTTTAGATTGGTTATGGTGGGCTCCTGTGGTGTACACATTGCTTCTTTCCTTATCGAAGTGTGAAGATGTGTGTATGTTGTGTATTCATTGTTAGGCCCCTCTCACATGAAGGGTCTGATGATTTCCTCCTGTCAGTTTTTTAGCCAGACCTGATTGAACCTTTCATTCACCCCTATAGACCAGTGGGTGAAAACGCAGTTGTATACTGCCTTTTTTTTTTTTTTTTTTTTCCAAAAAGTATTTTATTGAAAGAGGAAAGGCATATCAAGTCATTTACAGGTACGGTTCACAGTCCGCGCATAGACATGGTACATATCCTCCCGTATCGCAGACGGGTCATATGTTGTAGGTTTAAAGTATGATGCATCTCGAGGCAAAATGGCACAATATAGCAAATGAATATTACATATCAGCAGATATGATTATATTAGGTAAGATAAAATAAGTATAATGAACACTGATCCAATGAGTAGGGAGTTCTCAAGGAAAGGGACCGTGGGGTGTAGGGCAAGAATAACATCGGAAGGCGTGTACGCCATGTGTGTCCGTATCTGGAAAGTGTAGGTTACTTAAAAATGGTCACACCTGTGTGCGAGTAGACGCCCTGTGTGCGAGTAGACGCCCTGTGTGCGAGTAGACGCCCTGTGTGCGAGTAGACGCCCTGTGTGCGAGTAGACGCCCGTGTGCGAGGAGACGCCCTGTGTGCGAGGAGGAGACGCCCTGTGTGCGAGTAGACGCCCTGTGTGCGAGAGAGACGCCCTGTGTGCGAGTGCGAGACGCCCCTGTGTGCGAGTAGACGCCCTGTGTGCGAGCAGACGCCCTGTGTGCGAGCAGACGCCCTGTGTAGCAGACGCCCTGTGTGCGAGTAGATGCTCTATTCCGTCAGGAATATATGATTAGTTGATTAGTGAGGACGTGTAAAAGGTGTGACATAAAGAGAAGTCAGAAAAGAGAACAGATTGGAGAAAGATGTGTAGAGTGACGGTGTACTACCTTTTAATAAAAAAAAAAAAAAAAAAATGGAAGAGGATCCATTCACCTCTGTCTAAGCACGTCGGATCGGAGGGTAGTCAGGTGTATATTGACAGCACATTTCTTTTACTCCTGGCCGCTCATAGAGCCGAGTGTGCTCGGTCCGTTCCGCTCTGCAGAAACTGAGCGGACATGGACTGGTCATCTGCCCGCTCTGCTCTGATCAGCAGGGGATCAGTGGACAGATCCCCTGCTGAGCATAGCAGCGTCCGCTCCGTGTGAGAGGCGACTTATAGCATAATTGTTCAGTTGGTAAAAAATTTGATCAATGCCTCTGGGTGTTCCTGATTGTCTCTAACCAGCCAGGGTGCACAGACTTTGTTTAAAATATTACCACTTTTATATGTAATTGTTTTCTTTCTTTTTTTTTTCCAGGCAAGGATCTCCTTTGGCTACAAGGTATAGATTGGCCTTGGTCCCTGGAAGCCCTAAATGAAAGCACTCTAGGAGAAGTGTCTTATCAACGCCTTTCCATAAGCGTTCCATTCATTTTGTGAACATTTGATAATGTTGCGTCCCTCAAATCTTCAGCCTGACCCAATGGCTCAGGCAGCCAACTCCTGCCAAAAAATGCTAGATATTCACCCTCCAGACGTTTCCGGTATGGGTCTTGACGATCCCTTACGAGTTGCTGTCCCACCTCCGTTTTACCATAGTACAAATCAAGAACTTGATCTGTCAAATAAGCAGTTTAAAAGAGAGACAGGTGGACCTTTTTCGGTTATGATGGACACTAAAGTAGTCAAACCTCATCTTCTGGAACCAGAACATCAGACGTTTTATAGGGACAGTAAGCCAGCCAGCGAGGTGCCACCAGTTAAGGGTGAACGGCAGAATTCTGGGGAATCGGAGGATGACGACGATGATGATGAGGAAGAAGATGAGGATGATGTGAATTACAAGAGAGAACAGATTATTGTGGAGGTGAACCTTAACAACCAAACCTTAAATGTTTCCAAAGGAGACACAGGGGTGGGCAAGGATCCTTCTCACATGAAGACCAGTAGCGATGAGGAGGGAGGTGACTCTGGAGATGATGACCAGGACAGCCAGGAGGATGAAGAAAACGATTCTCACACAGTAGATAACCAGTCCAGTATGGATCATATGAACCAGGACCAAAAAACTGAGAACACTGAGATGATGGTTAGTGATTGTACTTCACTCACCAACCCTCAGAATGAACAGGTTAAAAGTGGAGATGCACCTAAGCGTAAGAAGAAGACTCCCAAAGAACCTAAATCCCCTGACAAGGGTAAAGTAGAGGAGAAGGAGACCCTTTCATGTGACAAATGTCCACGGGTTTTCAACACGCGGTGGTATCTAGAAAAGCACATGAACGTTACACATAGAAGAATGCAAATTTGTGACAAATGCGGCAAGAAGTTTGTCCTGGAGAGTGAGTTGTCCCTCCATCTTCAGACAGATTGTGAGAAAAAACATTCAGGTGTGTACAACTTTCTCATAGTTTTATTGTTCATAAGAATTTCAACCTGCCTTTCCTACATTTTACTAGATTTATTCACACCCTTTAGAGCCAAGCTTTTCTATTCTGTAAGGAACACAAGTAGGTTTACTATGTTCAGTGTATACTTCTAGTGCATTCCAGAAAGTATTCAAACCCCCTTCACTTTTTTAAATTTTGCTATGTTGCTACCTGAGTTGTTTACAGGTTTTTTTTCTCATTAATCTGCACTCAGTACCCCATAATGATAAAGTGAAAACAGAATTTTAGAAATGTCTGTGAATTTATTAAAAAAATTTAAAAACCGATATATCACATTGGCCTACTTTTTTAAGACCCTCTGCAACAACACTTGAAATTTAGCTCAGATGCCTCCCATTTCTCGAGCTCAGATGCCTCCCATTTCTCGAGCTCAGATGCCTCCCATTTCTCGAGCTCAGATGCCTCCCATTTCTCGAGCTCAGATGCCTCCCATTTCTCGAGCTCAGATGCCTCCCATTTCTTGAGCTCAGATGCCTCCCATTTCTCGAGCTCAGATGCCTCCCATTTCTCGAGCTCAGATGCCTCCCATTTCTCGAGCTCAGATGCCTCCCATTTCTCGAGCTCAGATGCCTCCCATTTCTCGAGCTCAGATGCCTCCCTTTTCTCGAGCTCAGATGCCTCCCTTTTCTCGAGCTCAGATGCCTCCCTTTTCTCGAGCTCAGATGCCTCCCTTTTCTCGAGCTCAGATGCCCTCCCCCTGTCTCGAGCTCAGATGCCTCCCCTGTCTCGAGCTCAGATGCCTCCCCTGTCTCGAGCTCAGATGCCTCCCCTGTCTCGAGCTCAGATGCCTCCCCTGTCTCGAGCTCAGATGCCTCCCATTTCTCTTGATCATTGCTGAGATATTTCTACATATATTTTGATTGGAGCCCACTTCTGGTAAATGAAAAATGATTGGACATGATTTGGAAAGGGACACACCTCTCTATAAAAGGCCTCACAGCTGACAATGCATGCTGTGTCAGAGCAAAAGCCATGAGGTCAAAGGAACTGCCTGCAGAGCTCAGAGACCAGATTATTGCAAGGCACAGATCTAGGGCATGCTACAAAAAAGTCTGCTGCACTGAAAGTTCCCAATAACCCAGTGGCCTCCATAATTCTTAAATGGAAGAAGTTGGCACAACCACGACTCTTTCATGAGATTGTAACCTGGCTGAACTGAGCAATCGGGATTGAAGGGCGGTAGTAAGAGAGGTGACCAAGAACCCAATGGTCACTCTGAGCTCCAGAGATCCTGTGTGGAGATGGGACAAAGTTCCAGAAGGACAACCATCACTGCAGCCCTCTAGCACTCTGGGCATTATGGCAGAGTGGCTACACGGAAGCCTTCTCTTCAGTGCAAAATACATGAAAGCCCTCTCGGAGTTTGCAAAAAAAGCTTTTTTGCAAACTCCAAGTGGGCTTTCATGTCTTTTGCACTGAAGAGAGGCTTCCGTCTAGCCACTCTGCCATAACGCCCAGATTGCTGGAAGGGCTGCAGGGATGGTACTTTATTACAGACTGTAATAAATATTCTTCGCAAAATTATTTAACCATTTGCCCACCAGAGGATTTATCACACTTCCTGACCAGGCCATTTTTTGCGTTACGATGCTGCAATACTTTAACTGACAATTGCGCGGTCATGCAACGCTGTACATAAATGAAATTTATGTCCTTTTTTTCCCACAAATAGAGCTTTCTTTTGGTGGTATTTGATCACCTCTGCAGTTTTTATTTTTTGCACTGTAAACAAAAAAAAAGACCAATAATTTTGGAAAAAAAAAAATTCTTTTTTTACTTTTTGCTATAAAACATGTTCAATAAAAATTTTTTTTCAAAAATCAAATTTTGTCATAAATTTAGGCCAAAATGTATTCTGCTCCATGTCTTTGCTAAAAAAAAAACCCAATATTGTAAATTAATTGGTTTACATTAAAGTTATAGCGTCTACAAATGGCGGAATATATACTGGAATTTTTAGTTGTTTTTTTTTATACTAGTAATGATAGTGATCAGCGACTTATAGCAGGACCCGGTGATTGACATCCCTCATCCCTAGGCTTTTTGGGAACATTATGAAGAGCTGCACTGAGATCAACACTAGCTCTGCCAGTTTGTATTATTTGAGTAATTTATAGCTATTTGTATAGCTCTTTTGTATATCAGGTTACAAAAAAAACAAAAAACAGCAGCAGCATATTTTTTATATATACAGTTGCAAGAAAAAGTATGTGAACCCCTTGGGATTACTTGGAGTTTTGCATGAATTGGGCATAAAATGTGCTCTGAACGTCATCTAAGTCACAACAATAGAAGAACAAAGTCTGCCGAACATAATACTACACAAACATTAGATGTTGCCATGGTTTAATTGGACATAACATGTAAACATTCACAGTGCAGGGAGGAAAAAGTATGTGAACCTTTGGACTTAATAACTGGTTGACCCTCCTTTGGCAGCAATAACCTCAACCAAACGTTTCCTGTAGTTGCAGATCAGACCTGCACAACGATCTGGAGTAATTTTGGACCACTCCTCTTCACAAAACTGTTTCAGTGTAGCAATATTCTTGGGATGTCTGGTGTGAATCGCTCTCTTAAGGTCATGCCACAGCATTTCAATCGGGTTGAGGTCAGGACTCTGACTGGGCCACTCCAGAAGGCGTATTCTGTGCTGTTGCAGCCATTGTTTTGTTAAATTACTTGTATGCTTTGGGTCATTGTCCTGTTGCATCACCCATCCTCTGCGGAGCTTCAGTTGGCGGACAGATGGTCGTACGTTTTCCTGCAAAATGTCTTGATAAACTCTGGAATTCATTTTCCCATCAATGACAACAATCCATCCAGGCCCTGAGGCAGCAAAGCAGCCCCAAACCATGATGCTCCCTCCGCCATGTTTTACAGTGGGGATGAGGTTTTGATGTTGGTGTTCTGCGCCTTTTTTTCTCCACACATAGTGTTGTGTGTTCTTCCCAAACAACTCAATCTTGGTTTCATCTGTCCACAGTATATTGTGCCAGTAGTGCTGTGGAACATCCAGGTGCTCTTTTGCAAACTTCAAACGTGCTGCAATATTCTTTTTGGACAGCAATGGCTTCCTCCATAGTGTCCTCCCATGTACTCCATTCTTGTTTAATGTTTTCCTTATTGTAGATGTGTCAACAAAAATGTCAGCATGTGCCAGAGATTTCTGTAGGTCTTTAGCTGACACTCTGGGATTCTTCTTTACCTCATGCAGCATTCTGCGCTGTGCTCTTGCAGTCATTTTTACAGGACGACCATGCCTAGGGAGAGTAGCAACAGTGCTAAACTTTCTCCATTTGTAGACAGTCTGTCTTACCGTGGACACATGAACATCAAGGCTTTTGGAGATACTTTTGTAACCCTTTCCAGCTTCATGCAAGTCAACAATTCTTGATCGTGTAGGTCTTCTGAGAGCTCTTTTCTGCGAGGCATGGTTCACATCAGACAGTGCTTCTTGAAACCAGTAAACCCAAAACAGGTGTGTGTTTTTTAAGGGCAGGACAGCTGTCAGCAACACATCCAATATCATCACACTGATTGGAGTCAAGGTTGGCTCACTCCTGGCTCCGATTAGCTCTGGGAGAAGTCATTAAGCTAGGGCCTCACATACTTTTTCCTCCCTGCACTGTGAATGTTTACATGTTATGTGCAATTAAACCATGGCAACATCTAATGTTTGTGTAGTATTATGTTCAGCAGACTGTGTTCTTCTATGTTGTGACTTAGATGACGTTCAGAGCACATTTTATGCCCAATTCATGCAAAACTCCACGTAATCCCAAGGGGTTCACATACTTTTTCTTGCAACTGTATGTAATACATAGTTCATTTTTTCTAGCAAGGATTAGCAAGAACTCTGGGAGAATGCCACCTTTCCTATATATGCCAGAAAATATTATGCTCTCTTCTTCTTTCTTATATGAGGAACAGTCATGGCTGCTTTTAGAAATCGGGGGGCCTCATACAGCCTACCTGACAGGGGATCCCCCTCAAAAAATATCAAAACGATATTTTCACTAAAAATACACTAAAATAATTAATTAGCAGGCACAAACGTAGCATAACTTACAAAATCCCTGCTAACTCTAAAAGATAAAAATGTATTGAGTTAATAAATAATGTTGTATATGTAAATGAGGTCGGGGGTCATGCACATGGGCACTGTGGCCTTACACTTTGAATCCGTTTTTATTTTTTAAAATGTGTCTATTGCTGTGTGCAGGCAGCAAGGTATGCTATGTGGACGCAGCAGCTATACAAATACACCCCCAATGAGGCTCCTTCTAAGTGCAGTGTAAAAATATTTTAATAAGCCACAAATTGGTAAAACTCGCAATGTGGAAGTATAAAAAAAAAAGCCCAACAGTGTGGCCTGTAGAAGGCACAGTTAGCTCTGAGCCTATTCTCTTCCTTTCTGTTGGCTGCATTCTTCCTGTGTGACGTCACATCCGTTCCGGCTTGCGGCTCACGCTGGTTACAGGTACTTCTGGTTTCGGTCGGACGACGGTGCCTGGGACTTCTGACCATCCGTAGCAGCCTGGGATCCCCTAAACCAGCGGTTCTCAACCTGTGGGTTGTGACCCCTTTGGGGGTCGAACGACCCTTTCACAGGGGTCGCCTAAGACCATTGGAAATATTTGGAATATGATACCAATGATGGGGCTCTATTCCTCCCACTGACAACAATGATGGGGCACTATTCCTCCCACTGACACCAATGATGGGGCACTATTCCTCCCACTGACACCAATGATGGGGCACTATTCCTCCCACTGACACCAATGATGGGGCACTATTCCTCCCACTGACACAATGATGGGGCACTATTCCTCCCACTGATACAAATGATGGGGCACTATTCCTCCCACTGACACCAATGATGGGGCACTATTCCTCCCACTGACACCAATGATGGGGCACTATTCCTCCCACTGACA